CAATCAGATTTATGGCCGCGATACCGTGGTAACTGTTAAGCATGCCCAGCAAATCTCCAGGTGTCACACTGAATAGACCCCTCTTTTCCCCAACAGCAAAAGCAGCACCAGGGAAGAAGCAGCAGAGGAGCATAGCAAATGAATGAACTTTGAGCATCTCTTGTCAATTAAAATTGCTCTCTAGTATCCTGTGGCAGAGCTGATTTTTTCTTTGAAGTGAGTTTGAATTCTCCTTTGACACAAATCAGCACCTGTGGCTATTTACTCATATGTCAGCTTAGGATTTTGTTCTGGTTTTCATGGTGGAATTTTTCATGAGGCCTGAGGAAACTGGAGGTTTTCCAGACGTGACATTAAAAGTGAAATACTATTTTGGTAAATGTGAGAAGAAGATTGGTAAATCCAGAAGACATTTTCTTATATATTCATTGGAATTTAGTTTCCATTTTGTCTTTCAGTGTCATACAATTTCAGACAAAGAGGTTTCTACAGCTACTAAGGTCAGAACTGCCTTGACTTGGCTTGTTACAGAATATTTATGCTGTGTCATACCATCTATTTCCTATATGGCACTCCAGAATAATAAAATCACTTGGAAAGCAATCAAGGCAGTCAAGTAATCTCTTTTGAAATTTGCAATTCATGGATTTTGTCTTCTAATATAGCCTTGACTACAAAATCTGCTGTGCAAAACAGCCCCTCTCTCCCCCAAAGAATCTCGACTCTAACTTTTCTGGAACCCCTTAAAAACAGCCAATCTATGCTACACACTGATCATCATAGAAAAATTTTCCATGGCAGGGATTTATTACAAAGACAAGCTAGAATTTGTAAACAGGAAGTTCTTTAACAATGAGATATGAACAGCGACCTAAATTTCTTATGATTCTGAAACATGCATTTTGCCTGATAATGTGTTCTGGCTCAGCTGATGAAAGTTATCACAGCCAATTCTGCAGCTGAATCGTATCAGTGGGTTCTTTGGAGGCAGCGGTGTGAACAGAGTACTGCTGAATGCCATCAATTCTTGACTGGCATGGGGGCTGCTGGAAACTCATGCCAGTCATGATCCATCAAAGTAGCTTCAGGACTACTCCAGCTTAGGCTGAGTGCTAACTGCCTCCTGTATTGCAGTCTCAGGAGACACATACAGTCATTCTTGCTGTCTCCTGCCATCGCAGGCCACGGTCACAACACACCTGGGACCAGCGCTAAGGATGAGGACCTGCATACAGCAGAAAGCAAAATCACTGGGCCTTTCCCTGCAAAATGTAAGAAACTCAATGAATGGGTATCTGGTTTGAACTAGTAAAACACAAGCAGCTGTATGAAACAGGGACCACGTCTTAGAGCATTTACATGGCTTCTAAAACTCATTTTGACTGTGGGTAGTACTACAAGATAGTATTTCTCCTGAGTAAGATCACACTTAAAAGGGATCATGTAATTTTTTGCCTTTACTATTTCTAGTCAAAAGTACTGCTTTTGCACTTCCATAGCATCTGCTATTTGGCTATTTGAATCAGTCAACTAAATCTCAGGATACTTGGGTAAATCTTAATCCATTAATGAATGCAAAGGCAAGGCACAAAGAAGTGATTTATAGAATAACGAATATTAATAAGTATGTATTTCAAGATGATTACATTCCATGTACTTAGAAACTCTTTTAAAGAAATAAACTCATACGAAATAAAGTACTTGTGTTTCCCTTTTTTTTTTTTAGAAATGAATCTGAATATTCAATTATGGGATTATTATTCTGTGAATCAGTTTACAGTAATCAGTGGATATAATTTTTAATATGAAAATGTTATTCATGCATATTACAGTTCCAGGCATATATTATTCTTTCCTGAAAACATTTAAATCTCCCAGTCTTTATGCAAAAGGCTGGCCCATGAGCTCTGTGCAGGATGTAAATTAAGTTCTTGTTTGGCTAAATCTGATTACCCTGTAGGAAACCAATCTTGCTTAGTGACAATGGAAGCTAAAAATTGCAAGTAGAACAGTCCCCTTAAAATGGGGCCAGGAAGGGCCAGCTTCTAAATAAGAGATCTGAGTTTTGAACTAGTTTTTATTTTATCCTTAAGAATGTTCACTTAAACATAGAACCTATCTTCTCAGTAGTTGCTACCATTACTTCTAAAACTCATAATGAAATTAAAAAAAGCATTTTTTTTTAAGATGGACAGTTCTTTACTAATCATGTATAAAGTTGCTATAATCACTTCTACCCAACCTTTAGTTGGTCAGCCTCTCAATCTCCATTTGACACTCCCTCTTACTCCTCTCATATTCTATCGAAATTAACGCTCCAGTAAATTCAGTGAATAGCAAAAGCTCACACAGATTATCAGAGCATAAGCACCCCAAGTCAGTATGAACTATCTAAAATTTTTTGATTACTACCAAAATACTGCTGCTTTATTATGCACTTACTGAGTGCATGAGACAGATTAAAAAGGCACATACTGACACTACTAAATATTAAATACTGCTGTTCCTTCTGACAGGATTAGCTAAATACCTAAATTGTAAGAACACTCCTCTGTACTTTTTCTATACTCAGAAAATGTGCACAGAAAAGTCACTCTTTGATCTATTTCACTAGCTTCAGTTACTGCAGCAGGCCTTTGTATATATATATTAAAAAATTATTTTTAGTAGTCTGTGGCAGCTCCTTACTCTTCCTTTGATGTATAAAGGATTTATGATCAATAATATCTGAAAGCAGCTGGCATTATTACAACTGCCCTAATTCAAGAAAAAAAATATGTAATGCAACACTGGCAAAACCGATATGGCTTTTGGCTGTTCAGAAAATGTAATTATCTCAGTATGTGGTTTTGGTAACGAGACTCAAAATTTCAGATGGATTATTTTTAATAACATCTTTTCACAGTGGCTTTATTAAATATTCTAAATCAGAACTCAACACTTACCTAATAGATAAATACTTCACTCCTTCAATAGGCTTTAGATGCAGGGACCCAGCCGTCCACACAGAATCTTAATGAAGGCAATGCCATAAAGGCATGAACTTTACCTACAAGCAGCTCAGAGAAGAATCCTAGCATGATCCATCATATGCCGATTCTATTATTTTTCGGTGACCAACACTAAAATTACAGGTTCAGAAAAGTTTTAACTGTGAATTGACTGAAGCGCAATCCAATCCTTCCACCTGAATTCCCACATCTCCTCCATGCCAACACGAGTATCTGTGTGATGAGGCATATTAATTCAACTGACATCTAACACTTTTTTCCTTGGATTAGTTCTAGTAGTGAATCAATTTCCCCATCTGGTTCAGCAAGCAGACACAAAAATGTGTGTGTTAATAAAACTGAGCTGCTCAGAAGATGAAAATGCTTCTTTTGATTGACCTCTACCCACTTAAAGCATATGTGAAACCACCTTAAGTATCTTACACCTACCCTGTCAGAACATATGGCTATCAACCACCAGTCCACTGGGGTTCTGGTCTCTGCCTTTCAGGGATATTTTCTTATATTATCCAATCTTTCTTTTACTTTGGAACTATTTATTAAAGTGTGCATTCGTATTGTCATCAAAGCTAATATACTGTAAGGTATGATCTACTGTAAAGCCCTGAAGAACTCCACTACATACCCACAGTAGTCTATTTCAAAAATTTATTTTCTTAAAGAAACATAGCATTTTCTAATTTTTTAATAAATATATACCTTTTACAGTACTGTTGCAGTTAATAACATTCACAAGTAATATTTTTGTAGAAGTGTTGGTTATCACCACAGCAAACACCATTAATGACTGTTTTCGTTTACTAACAACACAACAGTTACAACCACAATACAGTGACCATTTTAGCCCCAATGACAATATCATCAGTGTATGAAACAGTGCAATCCGCTACTCTATCATTAATATTTATTTCATCTTGCAAAGGAATTATTACAGTTGAGACTGACAAAGCTCTTTTTGCCCCAGCTGAAAAAGCCTGTGAATAAATCATGTCATGTTTATATATGAAAAACAGGTCAATGGCTACGGAGCTGACATTTCCAAAGAACCTTCCCTACAGCATAGCTTTAGGAAAACACGCTTCATTTACAACATACTTTCTTTTTAACAGAATCCTCTTACTAGGTACTGTATCAAAAAAATCATTTAAATGTATAAATGGACAGGGAGAACATTCCATGGAACGGAACTTCTTATAAATTACAGATACATGGCATAGCATTTTAAGACTTCACTTAAACCCACCTCCTACCAATTGATATTATATACCTGGAGACCAGAAGAATCACCCTCAGGCGAGTTGTTTTGAGTGCCTCGGAGAACCTGGTGAGAATAGCACGTTTTTTGAAAGAAATAAACCAGTAGAAAGCAGTGCGTATTAGTACTAATGTTGTTCTCCTCCATACAGCCAAGTATCAGTTTCCTTTCTGCCAAGATTAAGTGACTGGTAATGCATCTGTTTTATTGCTCAGCAACTAAAATCTGTACTAATCACAGGTTAGAGGAACTCTTGTCCAAGAGGGGCACATTTCTTTTAATTAAAGCAAAATTCTCTAAAAAGATCCTATTGCATTGGAAATTCATATGAAATCACATCTTAAATATTTATTAAAAATATGAAATAATCACACTGAAAAGAAGATTCTTTTAAATTGATTGTATATATACACTCACAAATCATACTTATTCCTTCAGCCATGTTGTATTACTTATGGATAGCTACTGCCCCAGACAGACAACTACTGCAAAATGAGGCCTTTTTGTCTTTATATACTAATATAGTATCATTCTCTGACCCGAGTTCAGGTACAGCATACTGAATCACATGTTATTTAGGAGCCATGACTCTGTGGTAAAAACCTGACAGTTGTGATCCATTCCATTTAATGTAAACAAGGAACAGCTTTTAATAGTTTTCTCAGTTCTGTTTTGGTTGGGAAATATTTCAGATATTCTTGGAATAAAAGGTAAAGGATCTGCATAGTGATTACAAATTAAGACCAATGGCAACTTTTATTTACACAGTTTAACAGACACATTCAAGCAATTATTACACTAGTCACTCAGATTCTGAACATCACTATAAACAACAAGCAGGACTAGTTAGTGTTGCCTTCTTCATGGAGCTGTGATTAATTTCCAACATTTTTCTTTTTCCAACGAAGCCACCTCAGAGCTCTCACCAGTGCTACTTGTCCCATGAGGAATGTGATAGTAAAGTTACGTTTATACCAATCTCTAGGATTCCAAAGCCATGAAAATCATCAGCACACAGAACAAGAACAGGAAAAAGATACACAATTATATTAAAATATCCTTTGGCACTGACAAATGACAATTCACTCATGACCTGCATTTTCTGTTCTTTGTGGCAATGCTTTCCCTGCTTAATGAGAGTTAAATAACCTATGAAAAGGTCTATGTGAATATCCACATCCATGAACAGATTACATGTGGTCTATAGGGCTACAACTATTGAGATCTTAACTAAAAAAGTTAAGGGATGGGTAGTTTTATGACAAATTGTATTTGAAATCAGGTAAGATAAAATAATTGTAACCATATGTCATGTTTCAGAAGTAAAGCTGATCATTAAGCTATCTAGAAGAACTTCCTGACAGTGCTGTGCTATGCGTAAGACTTGTTTATACATTTATGAAGATGCATGTGTTCGAAAGGGCATAGCTGGTCACCTATAAGGGTGGGAAAAAAATAAAATATCACACTTCAAAGACTAATTGTATAACCCAATACAGGAAACATTATGTTTCTAATGCAGTACCTTTTAGAGACGATGCCTTTAATATTGCCAAAGTTAGCCTTTATATCTTTACATAGTTTTTATGACGCATGCATGGCTTCTGGAACCAATTCAAGAAGTAGATAAGATAGTCTGTCTCAGCCCTTTTTAACCTCTAAGAACTTGCTTCAAATTCTTGCCCTGTTACAAACTAAGGCAATATCATCATTTCTTCCTAGTTTTTAACAAGAATCCCTCCCTCATTTTGTAAAATGCTGCACAAGAAGCGATACAATATGCTTATTATAGAACTAGCCGGGAATATTGAACACTGAGATTTAGGTCTTCTCTTGAGATCTCTGGGGGAAACCTTGCATGTACAGATCTAATATAAACCTGAGATACTAACCTCCCAGTAAGGATAGTAGCCAAAATCATGCTGACAAGCAGCACTGAGCTACCCCCTCAAGTGTCATGTTAAATCAAAATACCACGCTAACATTGCAACTGTTTCTTTCCCCCTTTCATGTCTCATTTCCTATATCCTTCTCATTTTTTTTTCCCCTAAACTAGACTGTATTTCCAGTCTAAGTACCCTGAACTAAATATTCATGGTGTCTATGCACAGTCATTGCTTCAATTTTAACTAAATTTTAGAAGTTGCAACACTTCAGCAGCCACAGTTTTCAGGCCAGCTGGCAACACTGCAAAAGAACATACAGCTAAATGCATAAACAGATTTTTGTAAATATGACCCCCCAAAATCAGACTGCCTGTAAAAAGTTCCACTGCTTTCAGGGCTGTGCAGTTCCACTTTGAAACTACAACAATGCAGCTGACACTACCTGATTTTACAAGGCAGCAACAAGGAAGGTCACATTTAGGCACAAAGCCTGAACTGTCTTACTATGAAGACAGGACACCATCCCGAGGTCACTACAACAATGGCATCTGGTGACCAGTTCTAAGATAAACTATTTACTTTCTCACTCATCAGTTATAGGCAACTTGAACAACAATCTCTTAAAAATAATTTTTTACTTTCCATCTTTTCATGCTGTTCTTTAGGTTTATGGTGAGGTTTCCCCCCCTGCCCCCTCCCCCCATGGGCAAGACAAGATGCGCATATTTGTTACAGTAAAATTGTTCTTACAGTATAGTATGTTACGGTATATGTACAATACGTACAAAGACCCCTAAACCTCAATTTGTTATAGATCAGTTATTGTGATGGTAGAATTCTCACTAGCATTACACCAGTAGCAACCCAGTAACACCTGACACCTTTGAACCCAATAATCTTTCAATCTAATACAGAGAAGAAACTGAGTGGTTTCATACTCAGTGGGCACTGCTACTGTAACCGGATTAAGTGCTATCCTCCTCCAGCTTCCCATTCCTTCCTCATTTCTAGCCCTCCTCCAAGTGTGCACAGCTACTTGCAGGGTAATGTGTGTTTGCAAGTCATTTCTCAGTTGTTTCAGATCCCCAATCCAGTTTATCAAGTTGCTGTACAAATAGTAACACCGAAACAATGCAGTAGATGTTGCAAAGAGTCACCCTGGATGTGGGCTTACCCAGCTGTAGCTGAGGTTCTACGCTGAGTTCAGGTGGTCATTTTACTACTGCTTTGCCACACAAAAACCCTCAAACTCAACGCTAATCACTTCCATTTTTACTATATGCTTGCAAAATAATAAAACCAAGAATACTAAATATTACTCTCATTAAACAACTTTCCTCTGAGAGGAATCACATTTACTAGTCCTTATTTAACAGCCAACTAGAATCTGTTATATAGAAATTTCAACTGTTTTATTCACGTTCATCAGTTTCAATTAGCAGCATGAAAAGACCCATGCCATAAGAGAAAAAATTGAGTGCCCGATCTTGTGTCTCTGAATCTCCGATGAGATTCATCTCTCCACTAAATTAACAATAAGCAGTAGAATAACTCAAATGATAATGCAAATTCCTGTCAACTGCTAGTAATAGCATTTAAAAAAAAATAATTTTCTAAAATGACAGTTTTAGGTGCTGTTTTACAACTAGGGAAAAAATGTTCAAATTTTAAATTTGATCTCAGACCTATCACTTAGACTGTAATAGTCAACATAAATACCTTCTACATACCTGTTATACTGCATATGCTTTCTAAAATTTTTACTTAGAAAGTCCTTGTAAAAGTCAGCCATTTCTTCTGCATTCAGTGTTGCTTTTTGACCTGAAAATAAGTTTTGGCATAACAATGTCAAGATAATTCTTTGGATTAAAACACTGGGTTCAGATGCAGGAGAGCTAGGTCTGATTCCTTGCTCCTACAAGCTTCCTGTGTAACCCTGAACAAATTAATACACTTTTATCTTTCAAATTTTTAAAACTTATCTAGGGACCACAGCGGATTAACAATACTGATCATCTTGAAGCTGGCATAACTCTTAAGCCCTTATTACCTGTAAAAGTGATTATGTTTATCAGGTCTCAGATTATTTAGGGTACTACTAGATGCCTATGAAAAAGTCCATAGATCTAGGAGTATCTATCCTTTGAGTAAAATTAATCTCTCACGGGGCTGAAGTCTAAATAGCATCAGTAAGAGCACTTAGTAACTTAAATTTCCTCCGTAAAGCAAGTAAATAAATATAGAAAGAATGCTATCCATGACCAACATGGTATTTTCAGATGTACATTTTTTCCTGTTGATAAATTTCAAGTGACTTATACCAAAAAGTATTTGTTCCGAGATGTCAGATTTATTAACAATATAGTAGACGTTTTGTGAAGAAGCAAGTATAAAAGATGACTTTGAATATGCCACTTTCATATGCAGAATATAAGAGGAGATGGATTCTCTCCACAGAACATGAAAGGAAAACCTGTGGGTACAGCACAGATGTAGAATCCTCAGAACCAGCAAATATTCTCAACTCTACCAGATAATTCCTATACAAACTTTCTGGCACTTTCAATGTTTCTAAAATGAGGGTCAAATTTGAATGTCCCAGGGGCCACAGATACGATGAGGGAGACGGAATTGTGATATTCAACTTGTTACTGTTCCAAAATGCATTTTAATGTAAACTGATCAATGTAAATTATTGATCAGTTCTATTTGTCATCATTTACAAATCTAATATATTACAATGGATTAACATACTGTGGGATAAATTTAAGACTATTTGAAGGCTGCCTACTTAACACCTGTAGTTAATTTGTTTCTTCGTACTGGTATCAGCAGAACTGATCATAGATTCACTTATATAAAAGATTAAGTTTTGTTCCAACTGTTGATGTATATTATTATTACTCTTACTTTTATATACACATACAGCTGTATTATAGAACAGAGTTAATCAACACATGCAGCCAATATGATTTTATGTCTAAGGGATGTACATGCATACTATTTTCTTTTATTTCTAGGGTATAAAAACAAACAAAACAAAAAAAACCAAAACAAAACCAAAATGGCAATATAAAAGAAGCATTTCCTAAACAACACAGAACTTAATTAAAATTATTTTTCAACCACACACTGATCACCAGGATACAGAAAGAAGAGAAAGATAATGGTCTGTGATATACAGAATGTCAGAGCAGATGCTTTACTAAACTCAAACAGATCATTACTCTATGAACAAAATGTTCAACCTCATACTACAATGGCCAATTCACTGCTATTATGAAGGCATCTTGTTTTCAGTTTCACATAATGAATTAGAGAGGCAACTATTTTACAGCAACTGTGCTCAGGCAAAGACAGGCAGACACCAGCTGCTGTCTCCTCAGAAGCTGTCTTATTCTCCCTCAAGGAAAAATATTGTATTCATTGTACACACTATGGACCTGAAGCCAAAGACTGTGAATTTATCCACCCAACCATAACATGCACTTGAGGCAATTGCTCTGTATGTTTAGCTCAGCTAGCTCACTGGGTTAGGAGGAAGGGGATTTTTCCTTTCACATCTCCTTAGACTACAGAATGATTATATCATTTGGCTAGGATTTCAGTGCATTCCCTCCAGCTGCGAGGAAGAAATTAGGGGAAGAACACTGCAACAGATGATCTGACCCCCACATGCACATCTCTGAAAAGCTCTTCCCCTCTTTTTTTTATCATGCTCCTGAAAACCTTCTAAATCATATCCGCAAGATTTACTTGTGACGGAACACAAAGAGCATAAACTAACAGAATTGGACAGAATTTAGAATGCATCCTAAACTATAAACAAAGCTCTCACTAACCTGCTTCATCTCTCATTTCCAGACCCTTGGCTTTCAGTCTTGAATAAATAAATTCTTCTTTTTCCTAAAACATGGTTTTCCACATTAGAATCTGATTTACTCAGTCCTTGAAGATAACCAGTTTTTTAATCACATAGCAGTGTAGTGCTTAACACCCTCTGAAGTAACAAGCAATACTCATTATACTTGGAAATATCAACAAAATATTTTCCTGAATCAAGTCAGTTGGTTAAAACAGTAACTTTGTCACTTAGATTCTGCTACTTGCATGCATCAATTAATTCATGCAAGTGTTCCACTGAGACATATAAAACTTATTTGTGGAGTAAAGTTACAGTTGAGCTTCAGTATTGTTTGACAGGATCCGAACCTTCAGTTTGGACAAACTACGAAGATGTGCTGTATTGTATAATTAAGAATTTGAACATAGAGAAAAACACTCAGCCTTAAAAACCTGAAATTATTTAGATGGAAACAGAATAATTGTTTGTACATAAGTTTTTCAAACTTAAAAAGCAGTTCTATGGAATTGAAAAACAAGCTTTGCTTTTCTGCTGAGATCTTTGCAAGTTTTGCGAGGATGTGATGATCTTTGATCATCACAAATGATTGTGAATTAATGAACTATTACTGTTCTTCTAACCAATGCTGCAATCAGGAAAGAAGATGGGCCACAACTGAAAAGTCCCCACTTTTAGCCTTGTTGGGGTACACTGCCAGTGAAACAGGGCAAGTTCCTCATTTACCCCTGGTGATTATACCTAAATTCTCTCACTTATGACATAGCAAGAAAAGCTGCAGAATCATTTTCAACAGCTGCTTTAGTCATAGACAGATCTTGCATGTAGGGTGGCTACAAGTTTATATTTTCAATGCAAGACAGGAAAAAGGCAAATAAAATACACAGGATCTTTAGTTTTGTATGTAATTTTAAAGAAACACATGACAAAAAAGTAATTTCCACAAAGACACCGTGTGTATTAAAAGAAACGGTATCAATTACCAGTCAGTAATGGCAGGGAGAACTGAACCCTACCTCACGGAGACCAAAGCCCCTGATTTTGGGGGGCTGAGTGGGTGGGAGCTGAGCAGCACCAGGCGTCCTGGCAGGCTCACCTGGCGGAAGGCACGGTTGTGCCGTGCCCAGAAGCGCTGGTCGCAGGCCTGGGCCTCCTGCCGTGCCTCTCGCAGCCGCCGCTCCAAGGGTGACTCCTCGGGGGGCACATAGAAGATGACCGGTCGCAGGTTGGAGTGCTTGTCAGGGGGGCCGATCCAGTCATTACAGGAGTGTGCGGGGGGGCTGAAACCTAGGCCCTTGAAAACACAGGCAGAATTCATTATGACTACTTTAGCAGAGTTTTTGAAGAACATCACGATTTGAAACAAGTCCCAGAACTCCACACAACCTTAAAACATATAGGCATAGCAAGTTCGGAAATTATGCACATTCATTTACTCTGACTGAAAACAATGTGATACATTTAACATTAACATTTAACATTAATTTTTATTTAGAAATGCACTACAAAGGAGACACCTTTGACTCTTTTCCAACAGGTATGAGTCATGATTTTTTTCAAGCAACTTTTTTTTTTTCCATTTTTGTATTACCAATATTCCACTTCACTTAAGGATTTGACGGCAAGAACTAGCAAGTATGTAAGTCTTCCTAAGCGCTGCCTTTTTCGTGCATCCTTGTGGACAGGCACAAGCGTGTCACTTGTCAGGCCAGGTTTAGGAAGAACCGGCTCTAACAGCCCGTAACTTACCGCTGCGTTTGTGAAAGTTTTTGTTACTTCCCCTGTGCCTCAGCGCCCCATCCGCACAGCGCGGGAAGGCCCGCAGGGTATTTACAAACACTTGGGGCGTTAGAAAATACATAAACAACGAGAGGCCGCAGGAAACGCACCCGCCCAGCGACGCTGAGAGTCACTGACAAGGGCAGCCTCCCCAGATCTTTCCCCTCAGGGCTCCGCAGGGGCGGAAGACTCCGAGGC